TTCTCCGTCGCGGTACTTCTGCTGAACAGAGCGCTGCGACATCACTGCACGCTACGCGACTGCGATCGTCAGCGGAAGTCGGTACTCCGCGGCGGTCGGCGGAGAACCTAAGCTGTTTGAATTGAATGAATTTTTCGAACGAGAAAATTTTTCTCCAAAGGGTATTTATAAATAAAGGGTATTCCAGGGTATTTTATAACGTCTTAGCATGCGCTCTTTAATTTACAGTATGAGAGGAAATAAAACATTATGCAATATAATGCATCTTATGGAAAGCCACTATAGTGGTCCGTAGTACCTCAGTGGCACCATATGGAAAGCCACTATAGTGGTCCGTAGTAGCGAAAGGGTTAAGGAGTTGTTCACAACAGGGCAGTTTCACATTACAGCGATTTGATTTGGGCAAGTCGCCGTAACAATATTAATGTACACCGGCATGCAGGTCGCTGCCTTTTTCAGCCGACTGCCCCGAGTTTCAATAAAAACGAGGCCCGAAGAATCACGATTTGGTACTCTTAGATCCGCCGGTTTCAGTTCCGACCTCGGAACACTTCTAGGAGAAATGACTGTATCAGTTCCGTCGAAGATTGGTGACCGCCGCGGCGGCCGTCCAACTAACGAGAGGCCTTTCAAAGGAAACGCGGTACCCCACGGAATATTCGCAACGCATCCCGCGCAATTTCCGACGGATACATAGGCGAACTCGTATCAAGAACCAACCGCCCACGTGTCCCCCGGTTCATAAAACGCGTTTTCAAGCGCGAGTCGCCGCGGAGCGTGCGATAAAGCCTCGTCTGCCATTTGTTCCGCGTAATCAGCGACTCATTGTACGATCTGTCGGCGATAAACGCGGGTGCGGCGGGTGCCAGTCGCGGATGATTCTCAGCTAGAAAATGGGCTTTCATTAAGCGTTACCGGCTCCGGTCACGACCGGTTCCGTCTCCCCCCCTACCCCCTGGAGATAATTGCGAGTTTATTCGTTCGTTTCTGACAGTGTTTACCCCGCTTCATCGGACAATTTTCAACGGGAACACAGGGCGCCGCCGATTATTTTCCGACTTCGTGTGTAAATCGGCCATTGTTCGGCGCGAGGCGAATCCGGACGTTTCAGCGATTCGCCACCGAACGCTAACAAGGAGTGCTTCGAGTGTCGCATTCTTTCGATTTCATTTCGGCGGAATGATATGTTCACGTCCATTGTAAACGGAGTTGTAATTGTAATGGGATAGCTAGGCAATTTTGAGAAAAATGCGTGTCAAGTTTTAAATGAGTGTCGGATGTATCACTGCATTCGAGAATATTATACACTAGATTTACGGAGCGCTAGAAGCAGCTGTTTTATATTAATTAATAAAAGTAACGGTAAGATGTTTATTCTGATTTTTAACAAGTGTTATTATAACATTTGCCATAAGTAACACATATATTGAATAAATAACTCCATAAACATATCTTTACAATCTGAGTAATCGTAAATTAAAAAATGATTGATCTGCCATTTTGACGGGTATCGTAAACCTATTGTTAGCGTAATGATTGTCGCGTCACTTTCGATTAAGCGCCCGAACGTTTTCTACATTAGTTCGCAAATTAATTAGAAAGTTGATGCATTCAGTTAGCATGTGCGTGTCCTTTATTCGTTTCGATATCCTATTTACCATAAAGAGTTATAGTCGGTATGAAAATTCGTGCCTGAATCCTTTATGAAAACGAGTGCAGGAAAGCGTATTTTTGCATGCATAAAGAAGATTCTAAAATTATTTAAACGGTTTAACGCGTCCGCTGCCGTGCAATCTACAACCGTGTTGCGCGGAATTTCTATTCAAACTTAAAAGTTATTTATGGAGTAATTCATATCATGAACCTTCGCTTCTTTCTTTCTCTATTTTACTAAACAAATCCTTTTCATTTTATGGAGGTTTTATGGTCGCTAACAAGAACCACTATTTAGTTGATGATAAACTGGCACAGATTTATGTAGATTGAAAGCATACGATATAAGAACAAGGGAAATGTAAATTAAAAATCCTTCTAAAAGTTCGTTTGACTATTAAGAATTAAGAAAGACGAATGGGGGGAATGAAAGAAAATATAATTTAATATTATCTATATAAATACTTGGATAGTGAAACCTGTTACTGTGGGGTGACCAATTGCTGTGCCTTTGGTTCATTTTTGAGTGTAAATAACTTTATATTTATCGAACAAGATACCTCAAATCTTTTTATTCAAACATAAAAAAAACAAAATGAAAGAATGAAGAAATCGGCTCCACTACCCTGCTTTCGATCGACACAAAAATTTCCGTGAAATTTCATCGTTCGGTGAATAATGTTCTTTGTAAATAGATGGTCAACGTGTTAACACCTTAATTGCAGTGTCACCAAATACAGTCAATTCTCTCCGATTGATGCTCAGCTTTTACACAAAACTGGACAATTTGGAAAGAGGAGATACAATTATTCGAGCCATCTGGCTCTTTTCTATAGTTACCGATTGTCAACAACTATAAAAACGGGCCGCAAGGCTCGAATAATCGTACCTCCTCTACCTAAATTTTTCCTCTTCCATTTTTGTAGACAATCTGAGCGTGGATTGGGGAGAATATACCGTATAAGAATGATGGAATTATTGGCTTCGATTTGAAAATTAATTTTTATGCTAATATATTATACCTATCTAATTTTATTTGGTTCCGCAGAACGCGAGAACGTTGAGAAAGTAATTTATATTATGCAGCTTTCGATTTTATCTTGATGGAATAAAATACTTTAATTATTTAACCCTTTTAGCACCGAGCGAAAGAAGCGTACCTAGGCGAAGAATACCGGGCCGAATCGACGAATTTGTAGAGGTTTGCGAAAATGCTCGTAAAAATCAAAGTAGGCGTGATATTTACAAAATTCAAAAAGCAGCATATTGCGAAAGGAATGGAGAATAAATCAATACCAATGAAGTTTCGATATTTGTTAAAAATCATAAGAATAACATAAGTATAAGACATAATGAAAATCGTACAAAGTAATTTCTCTTTTTCAAAACGTAATTGCACATAGAAAAAATCAACATGTTCAGAAATTGGTACGTAAAAAATAAATCGAAATATTCTATTGGTTTGGATATGTTCGGTGGCAAATGTTTAGGGCCGGGTATTTCCGAAAATAACGG